GAACCCTAAATTTATCTCTTCACAGAATAAATTTAGATGTAGATCATGAGGACGAACTAAGTCCATCACTATGAATACACTTACATTCCTTGAAGAATAAGGTTCTTGAAGAACTTGTTTGAAAGCCTTGAAACCTAGCTTTTGTCTTCCTTTCAGTTTATTGAGTTGAGAGTGTAGAAATAAAAGAAAACTAAGTGCCCGTTTGGATTGACTTATTTTAGGTGCTTTTAAGCCAAAATAACTTTTAAGCAGTTTTGAAGTGCTTGGGTTTAGTTAAAAAGTGCTTATAAGCACTTATTTTAAAGTCAAAATAACAAAAATAAGCCAAAAGACGATCGTTAGAAATCCTAACTTATGGCTTTTGGCTTATAAGTCATAAGCCAAAAGCCAATCCAAACAGGCCCTAAGTACTTGCTGGAATATATTCCCCCAGTAGAAGTTAAAACATCGTGGCTTTAACTTAGGAAAACTGGGAAAAGGAAAAAGAAGCCCCAATTAAAAATCTATCGAAAACCTTCCAAGAGGCCATCTACAGTCCATGGTTTGACCTATGAATTGTAGATCTCATCCATGGAAGTTAGATTAAAATTTTGAGATTCAGAAATTCATTCTACGGACCCAAACTATGGTCTGTAAATGCTTCTATGAACCATAATTGGATCTAAAAGAATTGGACCTAAAAATGACTTGCAGAACTGTTTTCCATGAAGGAAGAGTACGGGTCGTACCTCAATCAACGACCCATAGGTCAGGTCCATAGTTACTAACTTTGAAAACTATATTGTGGTAGTTGATGCTTATTGTGACCAACGACACTAACCTACGGTATGAGTGTCTACGATCGTCGAAAGTATAGTAACCCAATTAAAGGTTGAGGTCGTGTCGCAAGGGAGTGGTTTTGAGAATTGATAGAAAAATACAATTTAGATCTAACTGGTCATAGCTAAAGACATTAACAATTAAAAACATAGTAAATTAAAGGGGGTGACACGACAGTGTCAAATATCGATTTTGAGGTTTTGTTACAAGTAGTAAAAGTAGCAAAAATTAACAAGAAAATCAAGTATGGGGAAATTTTCTTAGGGTGTGACCGCAATACAAGTTGAGATAAATAGTTGGGTACATGCTTTTGACAAGAAATTCGTAAGATAATAGTGACTAGGCTAAGCTTTAAATGGAAATAAGTTCCCTCTCGGGCAACTTACCCCGTTTCAAATGTGCTCCTCTCGAATACCCATTTGCCACATGAAGACCAGCCTACGCCTTACCCCACTTACTTTCTCGAGCTGAGTGTTAGGATATGGGACTAGGGTTTACCCTCTTGGGCTGAACTTTATGTCGACCCACTCCTTAGGCCATCAGTCTAGTGGTCTTGGTTTCGCGACATCCCTCTCGGGAAAGCCGAAAACACATGAGTGGCTTTGTATTTGCAACTACAGACCCTTTAGATTAAACCACAACCACTAGGTGATATCACCACTACAAGAAAAACAGTCTCTAAGGAAGGGAAATATGGTCCTAAAAAGTTCAAATCTGGTCCCAAATAGTCTATTGAGACGGGAAAATGCTGGTCGCCACCCGTCCTAGAATGCTTCTTCGCTAAAGGTCAATTGGGACGAGTTCTTTTCACTAGTCGCTGAATGAGTTTAGAGACGGGATTAATGCTAGTCTCCAAAATACTTTTGAAGACTGTATATCTCGTCCCAAATAGAGGATTTTCTTCTTTGAAAACTAGTCATTTTCTTGTCGTTAAATCCCTTTAGGGATTAGCAACGAACTTGCCCTAGATTACTCTTTAGGGACGAGCAACTATCTTGTCCTAGATCACGTCGTCTTAGATTGTTTTCGCAACTAGCAACACCTCGTCCTAGATGATCTTTTAGGGACAAGACGTTGTCTCATCCTAGATGAAATTTAGAAACAAGAAACTATCTCGTCTTAGATGAACTTTTAGAGACGAGCAAAAAATTTGGTCTCTAACTAACCATTAGTACTTCTGGAGCTTCATTTCACAAAAATAATATAAATTTCATCAATAAATATAAGATTTCTACGGTAAATCTCCATACAAAAGGCTGATATAAATATATAAAACAAGGTAAACATCCCATGGTGTTAGTTTCAATATTTGTTTAACAAAAAAACGGTTAGCAAATTAACAATATCTCGAGCAAAATAATGATAGTCTTGTGCATCTTCTATACTTGCATCTTGACTTGTAGCTTCCATCTTCACAAAAGTACACCGAAATTCACCAAGGGTTATCCAAAAATATTAACAAGCTACAAGAACATGTAAGAAAAATTGAGTAAGAAAACTTTGATATTCGACCGTATTTTAGAGTAAGAAAAATTGTGCTAATACGACTTGGTCATACTTCTTTTCTTTTATAGGTATCAATGCAGTAGGACTTTCATTGCGAGAAATCATCATGAAATGGTGGGGAGCACAATGCAAAACTGATATGCGACCATATTTTAGAGCACTTCCAAGCTTTATTATATGGAGCTATGGAGAAGAAGAAACAAGAAAAAACATGAAAGGAAGGATCTATCATTATCAAGGATAATCCACAATGTAACCAGAAGCATGTATTGATTAATCAATGTAAGAAGACCATGGATGAATGCCTCTGGTAGATGGGAAGTAATGATCAAAGAGTTGGAGGAATATTGCACAAGAATGGTGGCCAAGAAAGTTAAATGGGAATGTCCCCCAGAAGGATGTATTAATAAATATAATACAGAAACAGGAAACCTAGGATTAAGTTCCTATGCTTTTTGCTTGAGGGATGAAAGCGTGGATATCATACATGCCGAAGGGGTAACTATTGAGAATGCAACAAGCATAGTGACGGAAGCAAAAACGATACTAGAAGATAGCAAGCACTGTAAACAGATAAATCTCAATAAAGGTCTTATTCAAAAAGATTCGATGCTACTGAAAAAAGTGCTTACAGGGGAATGGGCGATACCATGGAGCATATCAGATGTAGTGGAGGAAATAAGGACATGCTTGGAAGAAAAGCAACATATTTTTCAGTACATATTAAGGGAAGGAAATCAGCTAGCAGATCAACTAGCAAACAGGGCAATTGAGAATGGTAATTGCATATTCACAGAGTCTCAAAACGTTGGATACAAGAGCAAGAAGGATAGTGAACAATGACAAATTAAACATCCTATACATAAGAGTAACACCAAATCTGGGATAATGGTAAGGGAGGCCCTATCTTGTTTAGTTTGTTAATTGAATTTGGGCATTAGGCACGATGTAATTGTTCTCTTTTCATATCAATAAAGCTGAAAATTTTAAACTAAAAAAAAGAGTAAGAAAACTTGATAGTGTATCCCAAGTCTTATAAAATGTCTACAAATTACATTTATTATAGGCTGCATGAAATCCCAGAAAGTTGTAGACTACAGTCACTATGTATAGTTGTGCAGAAAATAAAAAAAATGCACACACAATTGTACAAAACTAAAAAAACAGAGGAAAAAGATGTGTGGATGCTATGGTATTTGTATAAAATGGAAACACAAATTAAGAAGGTTGTAATATTTTAAACAATTCTATTGCCAGCGAAGACGCCGCTGCAGCTGCCTAAACAGAGTTTTTGATTCGCTGCTTCAAAATTTCAGCAAATACAAGCTCAATCCTTATTCATTCGTAAAATGGCAAACAATCACACTATTGTTCTCACACAGACATCTCAAAACTGAGCAACTCGCACTTTCATGGATTACGAGTAAATAAGTTAAGCAATTGATGAAATTTTTGCGTTGTATGAGAAGAAACTCAAGGAATTGAACCCAGTCATCAGAGAAATCAGTTACGACATCTCATATCATTACAATTTCATAGATGACCTTGCTGATATGAGTGCATTAGTGTATGATCACTCAATCCAGACTTACCTCCCCTATGACCAGCAGTGGCTAAAACAGAAAACATTGCAACACCTAAAAAATTGGCATCACAGAGATACTATATCTTAAAGGCTAGTTTCTATGTAGCATTTTCACTTAATTTTCTGATAGCTTTTATGAAGAGAAGAGTTGTCGATTGGAAGATTGCTGTCAGGAGTAAAACTCTATGTATAATACGCTTCTTTTCCCTGAAATTCAAATCCTATCTGCAGAGCTACAAGTGGGAAATCAACTATTGTTGGACTTGAACCTATATTGGTGTTGCAATTCAAATCATGGATGTATAACTATGAAGAGTTAGTTTTGTAAATTGAGCACTTTAAACTTGCTAATAATTTTATCTCTCAACTACTTGTAGTGGATATAGAAGTTCATCTTTCCCTGTTTTATCAACCAAATCAGCATCTTTACTAGAATCTACTAAACGGAACTGATCATCATTCTGCTGAAACATCAAATTTTCCACTTCACAGGGAAAAGTTTTAGTATATATCTAGTTCATGACAGATCCCCAAAAAGCAATACAGTTTTCCATCATCAATCCAACAAACAAATAATAACATGATATTTATCATGAATCATAACACAAATAAGTCAAACAACCACCAACTAAGAGAAGATAATCACAAGTGAAGAATTCCTTTAAATAGACATCAATAATAATAGAAAAGCTGATGGAAACCATGTCAATTATCAATCTATCGTCTTCTAGTTTCAAAAAGGATATGCTATTTGTTCATTCCTCTCTTCATTAATTTCATCAGAGTTCAGCCATACACTAACTGCTTAAACAACTATCTGCAAATAGAGTTTGATAATTTGTTACTTACTTGATCAGCAAAAGAAGTCAGTGGTCATTCAGTTGATACGGGTGATGTCATATGCGGGTTATGCGATTGTTGAGTAGCAAAGAATTCTTGCATTTTTCTTATTTCTTTCATCTCATCTTCTAAGGTAGACAAGCGATCATTCAAGGATTTTTTTTTCTCATTCAAAGATTTATTTTCCTTTTGAGTTGAACGTAGCTGAGACAGTAATTCAGTCTTTGAAGAAGTGTCACCTCTCATGTCTTTTGCCTTTACTCCACCACCAAATCCAAATACATGGCTACGAGTTTGAGGTCCACAACACTTTTCTACAATCTCTATGCTAGGCAGAGATGGCTCAACTTTTAGTATTTCTTCTATTTGAGCCTACAAGATATATACAAGTACATTTCAATAGATCCCATGATAATTTGAAGTAATTTACATATTGAATTTACCAAACACACATGTTTTTCAATTGCTTCTGGTTCAACAAGCATGTTATCTTTCTTACAAGTCTCGAAGAAAATAGTTGCCAAATTTGGTGGATTGCCATCTTTTCCGCCCTTTACATCAAAGAGAAAATACGTCAAATAACACGTCTTAAATATTTTCTTTAGGAAAGTAATTTTTCGATAATACCTGCTGATAAATAATCTCTCTAATAGGCTTGCTACCAATATGATGATATATCTTTAACTTAGCTCGATTTTCTGCATTTCTATTGCTCCTCGCCTATATTGTTATGTAAAACTTTAATATCTAAGAAAATTTACCAAGTTAAAAAATAAGTTTCACATCTAAATATCACGTTGAGTTGCAAAATGGATGCTTCGAAAATATAGACTATTAGATCACTAGGCATACTTGAAAACTTTCAGAACAAAAATGTTCCTTAACTAACCACTCCCATTCCTTCTTTTCTACTCCCTTCGGAATATTCTTAAGAGCTTGAACAATTGGCTTATTTTTCACATAAGTAGCATGCAAGTATCCTCTCCATTTGTTCCATAGCTCATTCATCCATCCAAATATATGGTCACGATGATCATTCAAGTCAACACTCTCAAATTTATCCTACAATAATTAAAAAGTGAGTTTAAATAAAAAAGGAGAGTGAACATTGTCGGTCTTTCACGCCCCGAGCCTACACCCTGCGCGGGACCGGCACCCGGAGACCATTTCTGGCCCCAAGCGAACCCTTGGCCTGGCTTTCTTGACTCAGCGGAAACCTAACTCAACAGAACAACTCAATGCCATGCAAAGACATAAACAACTTAACTGATACAAATCTGGCCATAAAGGCAACTCGAATCTCAAAAAAGAATATTTACATATATTTATAGATGAGAGACTCAAAACTAACTGACTGACTGTCTGTCTATGAAGCCTCTAAAATACTGAGATGGATGTTGGGACAGACCCCGCAACATCCTAATAAAACAAAAACTAAGAACACAAAATAATTGAGTCCTCCGGAATGCAAGGAGGCTCACCACTGACTCTGGAGTGCTCAGCTGGATCAACGATGTGCAGGATGCTGATCCGGGGTACCTGTATCTGCATCATAAGACGATGCAGGCCAACTGGCATCAGTACATGGAATGTACGAGTATCCGAGCTGGAAAACTAAGCAACATAGGCTAGAAAGAAATTTGGAAGAAACTAAAAAGTTTACCTTGCTCAACTCAACTCAACCTGACTGACTTCTTTCAACATAAGGCAATTTAAAACAAGTGCAATATAAAGAAAGACTGTTTAAAACATGCTATAAACTCTGTGTGTATACAAAGATACAATAAGCCTGAAATGTATATAGAAATACAATGAACTGATGTATATAAAAATACAATAATCTCTGTGTATGAAAATACAATAACTGTTGTGGGAGTTTCTTTAACCAACAACCATCACATAAGAGCTATATGATGATACAGCGATCGACCTCACACTGCCAGAGCATCTTATACCTGACCAAAGGTATAAGACCTGAACTGCCTAATGGATCCACTAGTCTAATATGAAAATGATTCATCTAAAAGTATGATCCTTTTCTACCCATGGTGGCTAACATGGTTCTATGGGGGCTGTGGGTTCTTTGAACGCTCCCCCAATTCGGTGCTCGATACTACTCCCAAAAATGTATTGGCTCTTATGTTTTTAAAACATATTTATTCCTGCTGATATGAGATAATTACTCAAAAACTAGCCTGAAGACTCTTTGGAAATCTCAGTTTCCAACCTTGTTTAGATGTAAAGACATTTCTTTAAAACTTCTTTGGGAATACATAGTTCCCTAATAACTTTTAGAAAATGAACTCAACTTTAAACTCTTGACTCTTTACTCTTTACTTGACTTGCAACTTGAGCCTTAGAATGAAGTTAAAACGTTCAATAAAGACTCTTGAAAAGCTTGGAGGACTTGCTTGAACTAACTTCTTAACTTCTAAGCTTGACTTCTAATTTCACTTGACTTCTAACTTCACTTGAATTGGAAACTAACTTCACTTGACTTCTAACTTTACTCTCCTTAAATTGGAATTATGAATTCAAGGGTAATAATTTGTGTTTGGAAGGACCCCATGATGATTAGGAATAATTTAGGACATCTAAACTTTAGAAGAATTTCGAAATATAAATTCTGAAAACAGGGCAGATTTTGTTCGCAGAGGGAACACAGTTGCAACGCAGACTTGTTTCCCTGAAAGCAGCCTGACTTTTCCCCTTCATGTTGCCAACTTTAACCCTCTTAACTTCAAAGGTTCTTTTCCCAAACACTTGGGGTCATAAACCCCTGAACATATAGTGGATTCCACTCAAAAACACAACCAAATTCTGTCCCAAATCGGCAAGAACTTCAACTACACAACCAACTTCAACAACCAAAATAAATCTTTTCTTAGAATTAAAAACGAGTTGGTGTGTGGGGGTATGAACCAACCAAAACTAAGGATCATAAAATCCCTCAATATACAATAGATTTCAGCTCAAGAACACAACCAAATCATGTCCCACAACCAACAATAACTTCCACAACACAACTAACAACATCAACAACAACTAACAACTTTAACAACTTCAACAACAAATCCAATCTTTTCTCAAATCATAAAATGAGCTTGGTGTGTGGGGGAAAGGATCAACCCACACTAAAGAACTCACATACCTTGGTAGGGATCACCCCCGACGAAATTCCACGACGGAAACTTGTTGATCTCCTTTTTCTCCTCTTCTTCTCTTCTTCTTCTCTTCTTCTTCTCTTCTTCACTCTCAAGAACCCTAACTCTTTCTCTTTTAAAATGGGATAAAAATGATCCAAAATCAGCCTAACACACAATATAACCCCAAAAGAAATGGCTAGGGAAAAGACCAAAATGCCCTTAAAATTTTCGGACGGACTCCCTGCCAACTCATCCTGAGCTAGGAGTTACGACTACTCAAAATTGGCCAAAAATTCACTGATTTCTGCACTTAGCCAAATTTCCAGATTTTTGAACTTAGCCAAATTTCCAGATTTTGGACTTAGCCCAATTTTCCAGATTCTAAATTCCTTTCATTATTTTCCAAAAATGACTATTTCAAATTTCAAGCTTTTCCATATTCATTTTAAATTGTCGGATGTTACAATATCTCCCCCTTGGGAACATTCGTCCTTGAATGAGGTTACTCTTACAAGGCAAAGGGTGTAACATTAATTCAAACACCCAACAAGCAATCATGCAACAACAACAACAACATGCCCACTATAATTTAAAGAGCACTAAGAAGGAAATTAATACCTCAATCTGCATTTCCTCCGGATTCTAGGAGATGTGGATATCTCTTCTTCATGTCCTCTTCGGCTTCCCAAGTTGCTTCCTCAACAAATTGGTTCCTCCATAGGACCTTAACTGAGGCTACATCTTTTGTTCTCAACCTACGAACTTGACGATCCAAAATTTGAACAGGAACCTCCTCATAAGATAAGTTATCCTTGATCTTAATACTTTCAGTCGGTAGGATCAATGAAGGATCGCCTATGCACTTCTTCAACATGGAGATGTGAAATACCGGATGAGCCGCTGCTAGTTCCTGTGGTAACTCCAACTCATAAGCAACATTGCCAATCCTCTTGGCTATGCGGTAAGGTCCAATATACCGGGGACTAAGTTTCCCCTTCTTACCAAACCTCATAACCCCCTTCATGGGTGAAACCTTCAAATATACCCAATCATCTACTTCAAACTCTAACGCCCTTCTCCTAACATCAGTGTAGGATTTCTGACGACTCTGTGCCGTTTTCAACCTCTCTTGAATCACTTTCACCTTCTCCATAGCTTGGTGAACTAAATCTAGTCCTATCAACTGTGCTTCACCAACTTCAAACCATCCAATAGGAGATCTACATCTTCTCCCATAAAGAGCTTCATATGGAGCCATCTGGATGCTAGAGTGATAACTGTTATTGTAGGCAAACTCAATGAAAGGTAGGTGATCATCCCAATTGCCTTTGAAATCGATCACACAAGCTCTCAACATATCCTCTAAAGTCTGAATAGTACGCTCTGCTTGCCCATCAGTCTGATGATGAAAGACAGTACTCAAATTCACCTTAGAACCCAAGCCTTTCTGAAAAGATTTCCAAAACTGTGTAGTGAACGGTGCACCTCTATCTGAAATAATGGAGACTGGGACTCCATGGAGTCTCACCACCTCTTGAATATATAACTTGGCATAATCTTCTGCTGAGTTGGTAGTCTTTACCGGTAGAAAATGAGCTAACTTTGTCATTCGGTCGACAATTACCCAAATAGAATCATGCTGTCTACGAGACCTTGGCAACCCTGTGATGAAATCCATGTTGATCATCTCCCACTTCCACTCTGGAAGTTCTATCCTCTGAGCCAAACCACCGGGCCTTTGGTGTTCGACTTTCACTTGCTGGCAATTTGGACACTTAGCAACAAACTCAGCATTACCTTTCTTCATGCCATTCCACCAATAAACTTCACGCAAATCATGATACATCTTGGTGGAACCCGGATGAATAGAATATCTGGAGATGTGAGCTTCCTCCATAATCTTCTCTTGGAGTCCATCTACCATAGGTATGCACAATCTACCTTGAAATCTCAAAACACCATCTCCCCCTTGTTTAAAAGCTAATACTCTTTGCTTTTGAACATTTGCCTTCAACTCAAGCAAAATGGGATCTTGATCTTGCTTCTCTTTCACTTCTGACATTAATGATGACTCGGCCCTGCTCGTCACTGCTATTCCTCCTTCTGCGGAATCTGTAAATCTGACTCCCAGGCATGCCAGTCTATGCACATCTTTTGCTAACTCTCTCCTTCCTTTTACAATATGGGCGGTGCTACCCATAGACAACCTGCTCAAAGAATCAGCAACAACACTAGCCTTACCTGGGTAGTAAAGAACACTCAGGTCATAATCCTTAAGTAACTCTAACCACCTCCTCTGTCTGAGATTAAACTCTTTCTGAGTAAGCACATATTGAAGGCTCTTGTGATCAGTGAATAAGTCGACATGCACACCATACAAGTAATGACGCCATATTTTCAAAGCAAATACTACAGCAGCTAGCTCTAAGTCATGGGTTGGGTATTTCTTCTCATGAACCTTCAACTGTCTGGAGGCATAAGCTATAACTTTGCCATTCTGCATTAAGACACAACCCAAACCAACTCTAGATGCATCACAATACACCACAAAACCTTGAGTACCTTCTGGTAGCGTCAAAACTGGAGCTGTAGTCAATCTCTTTTTCAATT